GGAGGGACGGAGGGCTCGGGGCCGGCGGGAAGCGGAGGCAGTCGGCAGCAGGTCAGCGGCTGGCGCCGGGCAGGGCTGGAGCCTGGAAATCGAAGTTTCGGCTTTTTATAAACCAGAGTTTGTTACCCCGTGAAAAGGCTGCGAGGGGGAAGGGGGAAGGCAGCGCCCCGGCGGCTCCCGCCTCTTGGTAAACTTCTGGCGCTCCTGAATGGGAAACTTGGGGACTTGTCCGTGCTTCTTCCTCAGGGGAGGAGGTCGCCGTGTGGCAGGGAGCGAGGAGCGGGGCCGGCCCGCACAGGCAGCAGTGGCTCCGCAGCGCCTCGGCCGGGGGAGCAGCGCCGTCGTACAGCAGCGCTGCCGGGAATAAATACTGTTACAGATGCTGGCCGGTGATGTCATTTTCCTGAAGGCCGAGGGTGGCGAGGTCCTGAAGGGAGGAGGAGGCGGGAGGCATCGCTTACCTGCCGTGCAGCCCGCGCCCGCCTCGCCTTTCCCCTGAGCGACGGATAAAATAGTTAAAAAGAAAAAAAAAAAGAAAACAAGCCATTTACTCGCCGTAAACCTGCCTGAAGATCCGTATCCCTGCGCCGATTCAGGCGGCAGTCGTTGAGGCGTCGGCGTTCCGCTCATTTAACGCGAAAGAATCTGGACGAGGGGGAGGCGGGAGCGGTTTGCCTGGGCAGAGCTGGTGCCCCGTGGCCGTGGGGAGGCCGCGGCACGGCGTGGCGGGACGGTGGTCTGCCTGCACGCCCGTGTGCTGCTGGCACCAGCAGTTAACTCTGTTTCACTTGGCGCCTGGGCGGTTCCCCCCGCGGGACCCGGTTTTGCTGGGGCGGTGGAGGGGCAGGCACAGCCGGGTGGTGGGCGGGTGCGTGGCTCTGGCTAATTAGGTTGTCTGTTAATGACCAGAACAAAGCTTGGGAGAACAAAGCATTAGGAGTGCTGTGGGTACGCGATTCCATCAATTGCAAACTTTAATTGCAGAATTCACTGCAGGCTGAGTGCGAAAGTCGTAAAATAAGGGTAGAAAAGCAGTTCCATTTTTTAGATATACCGGTGAATTGTTCCCCTCTTCCTCCATCTCTTAAAAAAAAAAAAATCCTCAAGATTTCTCTGATTGAAGAAAATTTCTTTGCCCACCAGAAAGGAATTATCAGGAAGACGCATAAAATCATTTTGAAAAGGGCTTGTTAATTCATCCAAACATTGTACATAAAGTTCTGTTTCTTTAAAAGTAAGCTGTTAGGAAAGGTAGCAGCAAAACCTGTGAGGTGTATGAATATTTCTGTGAAAGCCTGTGCTTTTTAAACAAAAGCTTGTCAGTTGACCAGATGGAGGCAGAAATATCTTCTTCTGTGTTCTCTTATATCTGTTGCTCTCCAGACAGCTAGGGATGGCTGCAAAAGTTATGCTACAAAGAGGAGAGAGGAGTTGGGAATCACTGAGAGATGCTGATCTCAGTAACCCCAGAGCAATGCAGAATCACGTTGTAATGGAATTACACTAGTGTGTTGTTAACATGGGGCTCCCAGGGCATTTATTGACATTTGTAGTATTTATTGACATTTGTAGCATCTATGGTGATAGTACACAGAGATTGTAAAGCCAGGGTATGATGAGCGTGTTTTAACTGTTGGATAGAGAATATCATTTAAGGTCACTACAGGGACTCTCAATGCACCATTTCTGCTATAAAAATAAAAGGCTAGTTTTTTAGTACCTCTGGGGAATACATTGCATCACTTCTCATCAAAACATGCAGACTTTTTGTGTAGTGTATGTGCCCGTTTGCTTTAATCTCTACACATTTTTTACTGGGTTTGAACTATGTAAAATAGTTGCAGCTCTTTTAAAGGTTAGAGCTGCTGTGTGGAAATACATTGTCTTACTCATTTCTTGTAGTCAAAGACTGGCTGTTGTGGCGCACATGAATTAAGTGTGGAAAATTGGTCTCCTTTCTGTCTCTCACAGTAATAGCAAAAAGTTTAGACTGGCCTGACTGGGTCTAAATTGCCATTATTATAAATAAATATTATACTAAAATAATATAAATTAATATATAAAATAATATATATAGTATAATCTATTATATAGAATAATATTTTATTATAAAAGCATGTCCAAATCTTCAGTTCTCCTCTTGCTGTAGATGACTGCAGGGGGGTGGCTGGGCCTATAAAATAGCTTTTCTCGGGAAACAAATCAGACTTTGAGACAAATTGCACAGATTTTCATGTGAAATGGAGCCACCTCTTGAAGACTAATTTCATTTTGAGTCCTGCAGACAGAAGGCTATGCGAGCAGGAACTTCACTAGCCCTGGCCTTACACTGAGGGGCATGTGTGTGCTTCCCTGTTGTCCTGCCAGAGCTGGCTGCTAGGTGCTGTGAAAATCCTGAAAATATTCCAGCTACTGGCTGTGGATAGTTATGTGGCATAGGACTTTTTTTCACAGGCAATTTAAAGGAACAGTTTTTATCAAAATAGCAAGACTACAGAAGAAGTAGCATTGACTGAGTTTTCAGAAATAGTCTAGTTTGGTCTTAAATCAGCTGCTTTAAGGGACAATGTTAAGTAATTTGCTCCTTGTATTGCCTTTATTGCTTCATCCTATGAAGTCTCCTTGAGAGCAGCCAGCTCAATGAGGAGTGAATTCCCTAGTTCACACAAAACCAGAAATGTTTTTTAGCTATTTAAGATTCTTCAGCCCCTTTATCTACAGCATTTACGTTTAATAAGACCTTGTTGTGATAAACCAGTGTATTTTTCACTGCCAGAGAACTTGCAGTGCTGGAAGTTGAACAAGCATAGCAGTTTTGTTAGAAGAGCAGGGAGATCTTGGTGAAAAGAGGATGTGAGAAGGGCAGGGCTAGCCAGGAAAGATATAAATGTATATATGCTTGCTCAATGCTGGGAATAGAGGGAAGTCAGAAGAACCACTAGATAAAAGTGCCAGTGTCTTCATGCAGGAGGCCATTGGTGCCACTGCAGCTTATTGACATGGGTTATACAAAACCTTGCGGTAAGTACCGATACTTTTACTGTAACTCTTACTATGACAAATTTAATTTCCCTTTTTCATTTCCCTCCTTATCCCTGGACTGATCCCCATCTTGCTTCCTCTTCATTATTCTCACTTATGCAGGCATATGATCCACATCTCTTGCCAGACTTGCTGCTGCTTCTCACATCCCTTGAATCCCTGTTGACACTTCATTTGGCCAAGGCCTGTCTTCTCTCTGCTTTGCCTTTGCAACCTGTGGGTGAGCACTTTGCTCTCTGGTTCGTTTTAATTCCTGGTAGTCTGTTTTCTGTCTTCCTCACTTGACTGAAGCTGCTGTCCTCAAAATGGCTAACTGAATTTTCTCTTCAACATCGTTGGCAGCTTCTTGAAGAAATCATTGGTTTTTATTTTTCATTTCAGGAACAAGAAGCCCATTCTGTTCCCAGATAGGAAGCATTTCCCCATAAGCATCTGTCCTGTTGTCTCCCATACTAGACTCTTGCTTTGTCCAGGTATCATCTCTGCCATCTCTCTCCATTCCTACTTAAGGTGTTCTGCTGTTTCAGCTACTGTATCAGGCTTGAAAAATCTTTTCCATTTTGCCCATATACATACCCTTTCTCTGTATAAACTTCAATACTAATGTTAATTTCTCTAAATAGATGTGTTCACAGACTATTGCTATTAGAACAGGTGGTCTCTCTTTATCATAACTTGGTGGTGTTTTACAAAGGATTGTAAGAGTCTCAAGGTGGCCTTCAGAAAAATTTTATTCATTAGCCCTTTCAGAAATGGAACCATTCCAGAAATGAGGCAGTAGTTCTCAATGCTGGATTATTTTAGACCTTTGTCAGTGCACTGAGGTATCTCACATTAGTGTATGTTTTGGTCTTTTCTAGCAGCGCCCCCCTGACTGATGCCACATCAATTGCAACAATTGCACTGGAATTGAATCCAGCATCTGGAGTGCCCAAGATAAGGCAAAGAACACAATATGCACTCAAGCTGCATAAGCATTTACCTTTAGACATACTAGATGTGTAACCTCACATTGTAAAACTAACAGATCCTTTAACAAGAGACTTAGTATTTTGTACCTTTGAGATCCCTTGAGAAGACTCATGTTAAATCACTATGGAAGCTGTGACTCTTTCCAGAAAGAGAGGTGTTGGACTTGCAGGTAAGTTGAAGACGTTACAATGTCAACACAGTGGCCTCGTGTTTAAAAAAAACCCAATACCAACAAAAAACCACCCTAGCAAAGCAGAATCCGTCTTGTATGTCAGAATCTTATGGGCAGTGTGGGAGTGTGTTTCTCTAAGAGAACAAGTACATTTCTCATGCTGATCAGGACTTTCAGGTGCAGTTGCACTAGAAAATTTTTGTGTTTACTTTAGCCTGAGTACGACCTGCAGTTTCTTCAGTATAGATGATACACTCTGCTACAAACATGCACATACCTGCCTTGCTCTTAACTACATGTGTCAGGAAGTCTTTCTGTTCCAGCACTGTTTAAGGTGTTCAGCTGCTCATCTGATGTGGCATTTTCTTAGTCTGTGGATGGTGGAAATTTCCATTTTTTCTTATTAAAAGAGACTGATAAAAATTACTGTTTTCTCCAGTACTGGTGGTGGTGATTTTTTTGCCTTAAATTTAATACTGCAGCTGAAAATATCACTGAGTACATCATTATGCACAGATTTTATATTGCCAGCTCTGACTTCCCAGCTTGGCGTTTTTGCTCTTTCTTCTTTTCTCCCCTGATGCTTAGCTTCACTTTATATTGCTTTTTGATTGCTCTTTTGTTTCTCCACTCTCTTGCAGATCACCCTGTGTGAAAGGGAACATGCTGTCTCCTGCAGCATATGCATGCACACCCCTTCCAGTAGCAGCCACGTTCTGTACTGACTTGGATTTAGTCAGATGCAGGGCAGGCATCTTTGAGACCTTCTGATTTTCCCATATTTGCCATGTTCTTGTCCTTTCACTGTATTTCGTCTTTCTTTTTTGATCCTCTTTGTAGGTGGATCTGAAAGAGTGAAGAAAATACTTCTATTGCGTTTGTACACAACAGCACTTTGGTTCATTATTATGGTTTCCTGGATGTTTGTCTCCATTCTTTTCACAAAGTAGGAGGAAAGAAAATACATTAGAATAATGTGGTCCTAGAATAACCAAATTGAGCAGAGAATGTTGGGTAGATGCAGTATCTTGAAAGAAAAGGATTAATATTTCTATTGCATGTGTTTTAAGGTGACTCTATCTCTTTAACTAAAAGCTTGCAAAAGCTTTAGAGTAAATGATATTTTCAACATTGTTTGGTCTCCATGATAGAGTTCATTTATGGAATGAGCTCTCCTAAACAAAGAGATGTGCCACTGTGGCTTCTAGGAAGCTGAGTGACTCAGAAATCAGCCACTTCATCTGATGGGTCATGTGAATAGTGTAATGAAAGGTTGATTTGTCTGAGTAGATGCAGTCACTTACTCATGTGGTAAGAAAGTCAGATCACTTGGTTACATTCCTTTTGGTTGAAAGAGTTTCGCAGTTTTGGAGTTGGCTGTGATCCAGAACAGTTGTGCTGGGGATTTGCCTGGTCTCAGCCTTTGGAGAGCTTAACTCTTAATGCAGTTACCTGCATCTGTGCAGGTCAGTGACTGTAAATTAGGCCCTACTGGTCCTCTGAAATTGGAGGAGCTAAGCTAGTTTGCTCTGTGGTTGTAAGTGTAGGTAGGTAGTATCACTAAAATGAAGTAGTATAAACAGTGTGTTTCTCCAGCGTCAAGCAGGAAAATCTACACTGATGCAGACTGCAGCTTCTGGTATGGAAAACCCATAGCAATTAGGTTGTTCCAGTAGCAGGTCACCTAGAAGAATCTGTGAGCTGACAGGGCTCAGTTACAGCTTGTCAGGGGAGTGCGGGGAGAGTATTTGGAAAGTTTGTCAGCACTGTAAACGTCTTGGGAAATTGTGAGAATTTTGTAGCAGCAGAGCTGGCACCTTTACAGAATCATTGAAGAAGGGCTTTGTGATTTGTTTTTATTAATAGGACTGGAATCAGAATCTAAGAACATCTTCAAAATATCCTATGACCTGCTGAAGTAACAAGTACATTTTAGCTGTTACTGGAGGGTGCCAGTAATTTGCGTTGGTCATGCAAATTCTCATTGTCTATGTGGAGGTGATTTTGTTGCGATCTTGCAAAAAATCTGCTTTTTGCATGGGAAATCATATGTACAAACTTCATACCTAAATGAATCTATTGTTGAATTGTAATTACAATATAACTTCATGCCTGCTATATAGTATATTAACTACAATTAAAAAACCCCAACCTTTAGTAATACAATAGAGAGCAGTCTGATCCTGATTCCTACTGCTTTGTGCCTTCTAAAGAAAAATGGAAATAAATGGCCATCTAAAAAGAGTTCTCCAGAGCTGGTATAGAGAATGAGGACATACACAGCATACATATTTGTAGAGAAGGAGAGAGCATTCATGCTGAAGAGTACAGTTTCTAAACAAGATCTCTACAGCAATGAGAGGGTTTCCTGAACCTGTAGCTGTCTGAGCTAATGATCTCTTTCGGTCTCTAGGTGTACATACAGGGGCTGAGGTCAGGCATCCAAGCCTAAGTGTTTGCCCAGGCTTTGAATTGGTATCTTCATTACAAGCTGTATTGGGTGCAATCTCTTCCCTTTATGAAAGTGGAGGTGGGTTGGATGCCTCATCCAGTAATGAATATGAATTGTGATGCCATCTTCCAGGCCTAGTTCATCATATGGGGAAAGATTCTGTGAATTTAGTTATTCTGTGCAATTCTTGCTCAATGAGAGGTCCAGATTTTTTTGTGTGAATCATAAGAGGTGGGATCTTGTATATTTATAATCATTTATTTCAGTCTCTTCTGTAACAATGTCACTTCTCAGGTACTGAAAAAACGTGTTTTTAACTTTTATGGTTACTAACCCAGATTTGATAAGATTAACCAAATTAAACCAATGCAGTGATATTTTCCCTGGTTTACACCTGTCTGAACCAATAGCTTTTGGAGGTGTGGAGTGCTCTGTGCCCTTAAGTGGTGTATTAGCTCTGAAATCTTCAGCAGCATTTTCACTGTTACCATCATTTCACTCTTGGCTTTCTTAACAGAAACATCAGTGATTTTCCCACTGTCTCACTACTGCCTTTCAAACCTGGTGCCCTCAAGCAAAACACTTATTCCTGGTTTAGCTAAAACTGTCTCATAGTTCACAAGCCTCACTTACAGGGACAGTTATCATATTGGCAATGCTTTATACGGGGTCTGTTGTTGTAACAAAGAAAAAGCAACGCAAATTGCTACTATAAATTAATTCCTCCTGCAAAATTAATTGCTATGAAATATAATTTTATTCCCTTTATTTCCTTGTCCAGATATGTTTAGACAGATGCTCTGCTTTGTCTACTGAAACATGAAAAGCTAATAAAAAATATTAAGTTATGTGCTAAGAACAGGCAGTTAATAAAGCAGATGCCATTGTTGTTGTTTGGGGCAAGCTACAGTAAATTAGTGGTACAGAAGAGAGACTGCCTGCTATAGATATTTTTTTCCTAAAACCCGAATAAATAAGTGGAAGTACCTGAGGAAGAAGCTTTTTAATAAAGTTGGCTGTGATACTATGCAGAGGTTGGAAGTATTCTTTGGTGACTAACTGAAGGGTGTATCTCCAAAGATAAGGTTTAAATTGATGTTTTATACAATTGTTTTTTACAGGCTTGGTAGTATGAAGGACGGATTGCCTCTTTCTCCAAAGTTAACTCCAAGCTGACTTCTCACTGCGAACGGACAGTTTATCAAAGATGAGGCTAGGTGGAGCAGCTTCTTGCTATCTCAACTATGGAAGGCCAGTTTTGTGATAACTTTGAGATTTCTGTGGAAAAGCCTCCGGGAGCAAGTCCTCCATCCTTCATTGCTTTGCTGAAGGTATACCGAGAACTTCTGGTCAGTAGAATCCGAAACACACAGTGTTTGATTGACAACTTGATTAAGAATGACTACTTCTCCACTGAAGATGCAGACATTGTTGTCCAGTTTCCAACTCAAGCAGATAAGGTATTCTTTTTATTTCACTAGCCAGCATGAGCTTCTTACTACTTCCAATTTACCACTGGGTTTTATGGCCTTATCTGGCAATTTTATGTCTAGTGTCTGTCTTTGTTATTTTGGAGTTTCCCTACACAGCACATCACTTTCCAGCATGGATGGCACTGCTTGTAATGCCCGTTGGCAGCTGTAAGAACAAGCAGGGTGATAATTGCTGTTCTGTTCCCCCAGCTGCAGCTTTGTGCTCTGGTAAGGAGGTGACCACAGTGGCTGTTAGAGCGCAGCTTGCTACAGCAAGGCTTCATTATTGTGTAGAGTATTGCAAGGAAAATCTACTTGAGGATGCTGTGAGACAGATCTTCCTGCTTTAGAGGAGGAGAGACAGAAATGAAATACTATTTTAGAAATTAATGATTGTGTGTTGTCCATGTGCGCACCTTCCCTTCTCTTTAAAGACCTATGTACACTGTAGATGTTTGTATGAAAAACTGATATATCCTGGCACATTTGGGTTTTTGATTCATCTCTGGACATCAGTAGCAAAAATTATTTCCTAGTCTTTTGACAGGAGAAAATTATCACATGTACACAGTTGCTTTTTGCATCATGACTTAAAACAAACTCTACGTTTGTTTCTCTGGCCAACCAGTCATGCAGCTTCAGAATAGTGTCACAGTTAGAGGCAGGCAAACCATAAAAAATTCAGAGACTTCACTAACAGTGCAGATTTTCATAAAATAATCATTCTCACTGGCAAGTTGAAATGGTAACACAGTGCTCACTCTGTGTATAGGGTCAAAGTGAAATAAATGCACACTGTATGATCATCTCCATTTCTTACTGTTCAACATAATATACATGCTTGTTGTAACAAAGCTGAGGGGGGGGCCATGCATCAGGAATCTAAACAGCAACACAGAGCAGGCCACAGTAGTGTAAGTGAAGTGGACTCTGTGGGAGCTTATCTGGAAGGCATAAAATTGCTTTTTAGAGCATACAAATTGTCAAAAAACACCATGTTTTTGCTGTGCTGCATGTAGCTCACCCTGCTTTAAGCTCACAAGAGACCACAGTCTATAGAAACCTTTTGGCTGGTTTAGAACTGAATTCTTCATTTATTTCTAGCAAGAAGATCCAGACGTTCAAAATGAGCCCCCTGATCATTGCTCTGTCTCACAGAGGGTTTTGTACTGTAGTTGCCCTGTACTGGTTGCACAGGGATCAGACTCTGCCTTGCCTTTAGAGGTAGCGCTTAGTCTTGAACTGCTCTAGTCACTGCCTGGTAGCCAGTAGTTTTAGTAATGGTTGTACAGAGAGAGCCTGCAGAACTGAGCTGCTGTGTTAAAAGGAAGAGTTGTAGGTTTTTGGATCTATATTAAGATCCAGAGAGAGATTCTGCCTCCCCTGCTCTGGATCTGGCTGGATCCTGAGGTAAATCTGAATGTGACTGGAGTATTTACAAACCAGAAGGTGAATTTAGGGCACTGAGAAATCACCCCTTTTTAAAATTGTAACCAGCATGAGATTTAAAATACACTATCTAGCCAGGCTGAGGAAATCCTTTGGGTTCTCTCTTGAGGAGTGGTATTTATCCATTTTGTTTCTGGTTAGCATATGATCTAGCTGCAAGTTCAGACCTTAACTTGCAGAGCCAACTCTCTTGCAACATCCAAAGACAAACAGCAGGTGGGTTTTGTGATGATTCAAATTCAGAGCTAGGTTTTGGATTCAAGTTTTTGAAGCACCAGTTTTGATTTTTGTCCCCTGTTCCAGTCCAAAAAGGATCCTAAAGCAGTCTACAAGTGTAACTGTGATAAAATGTTATGTGTCAGTGATCTTTCATGTGGTGTTTCTTCAGGTTCGCAAAATTCTAGACTTGGTTCAAAGCAAGGGAGAAGAAGTTTCAGAATATTTCATCTGTGTCCTGCAGAAAGTCGCTGATGCTTACTATGAACTTCAACCTTGGCTGGATGAAATAGGTTACGAGCCTTCAGAGAATATTTGTAGTAAGCCTGTGGTAAATACAGATCCAGGTAAGGCCATGCATCTATATCCTCTTCTTTAGAACTACCCAGCTAACGGGGTGACATGAGAATAAGAGTCTAGGCAGGCACAGCCAGGGAAGATAATTGTGCACATGCTGTGCTTGCTACCAGTGGTAGCCAAGTAATTAAAAGGCACACTATAACACAACAGTCATGTTGATATTTTGCACCCTGTTTTGCTAAAGTCAAGCTCTTTCTGCATTTGTTCATGGATATGTGGTGTAATGTCATAACCACCTTGTACCATCTGTAGTATTTTCTAGGCCTCTACTACAATTTTTTAGCAACACTAATGATGTTTTGGCAATGGAATAGCCAGTATTTCATGATGAGGACAGTCAAGCAATGAGGCATGTTGCCCAGAGAGGCTGTGCAGTCTCCATACTTGGAGGTTTTCATGATCCAACTAGTAACCTCATCTGATCTCATAAATGATCGTGTTCTGAGCGGGAGCTGGGACTGGAGAACTTCTGAAGTCCCTTCCAACCTGAATTATTCTGTCATCCTAGATGATGAGTTATACCAAAAGTCAAAGTATTGAAGAAATAAATGTTTTCCTCTTGAGAGGCTTTTTCATACAATAGAAATACAAGAGTTACTTTGCCCCCATCTGAAGCAATGTTTCTGTTGCAATAAAACCAGAAGCCACCATTGCACAATAACTGAAACTCTTTTTTTTTTTTTTGTCATCTTAAAAAGAATCTTTTGAGGTGCCTGGCACCTGCTTTCTGAAATGCATGCCTTCTATATAATAATAAAAAATAACGAACAAGTTAGGAAAGAACCACCTACCTGATAAAAATCACAGGTAGAATATAAATATAGTGAAAAGGCAGATGCCAAGATTAATCAGTGACCAATAACCCCGACAAGCCTTTCCAGAGAGTAAAACAGCCTTTAACAAAGTGTCAGGGTCTTGGCTTTGAGTCTCAGATGAAAGGTAACAGCCCCTTAAACCAATGCATTGACAGTACTGGCTTTCAGGAAACTGTGGCTCACATGTCACCTTTCATTAGCACCTGAATTTCCCAAGAGAGTGATCGTGGTAGCACAAATAAAAGTAATCTACCAAAGAACCAATTTTATGTTAGAATTACTTTTGCTTATTAGCCCCTCTCCATTCCCAAAGAGGTGGGTCATTGTATACATATGATTTTTAATAATAGTTCACTGTCTTTTTAGTTAGCAGGTACTGCCAGAAACTCAGATATGAACTGGGACGGGACTCCAAGTTTGTTATGTCATACGCTCAGAGGGAAGAGATGCTGCTTGAAGAAATCTACTCTAACAGTACTATGCAGCTGCTCAGTTTTACCAATGATAGTCTAGGAGAAGTGTGTCAGTTAGAAGCCCTTTTTGATGACACAGCTGGGTTAATTAATGAAGATGGAGAGACTATTTATGTCTTTGGTGATGCAGGAATTGGAAAATCCATCTTGTTGCAAAAGATACAAAGCCTTTGGGCTAGAAGAGAATTGGACATAGGGGCCAAATTTTTCTTCCGTTTCCGATGTAGGATGTTCAGTTGCTTTAAGGAAGATGAAGCCATATGTTTGAAAGACCTGCTCTTCAAATATAATTGCTACCCAGACCAGGACCCCACAGAGGTGTTCCATTATATCTTGCAATTCCCTCATACGGTTCTTTTCACATTTGATGGCTTCGATGAGATCTATTCCAACTTTGATCTCAGTAGTGTGCCTGAGATGTGTTCACCCAATGAACCCATCCACCCCCTGGTGCTGCTGGTAAGCCTTCTCAAAGGAAAGCTTCTTAAGGGATCCAAGAAAATTCTTACAGCGAGGACAGGAACCGAGATCCAGAGAAACATCATTAGAAAGAAAGTGTTGCTCCGTGGTTTCTCCAGCAATAACCTGAAAGAATACACTGCTACGTTTTTCAAAGATGAGGGGCAACGAACACTGGTATTGAACCAGTTGGAAGCCAACCCCAATCTCTGCAGTTTGTGTTCAGTGCCTTTGTTTTGCTGGATTATCTTTAAATGCTATGAACACTTCCATTCCATGTTTGACAGCCACGAGCTTCCAGACTGTTCTGTTACATTGACAGATGTATTTTTGCTCATGATTGAAGTCCATCTGAACCGATCTCTGAAAACAACTTTGCTGAAGAACACCACCAGGAGCCAAGCAGAGATGTTCAAATCAAGGAAGGAAACTCTTCTAGCTTTGGGTAAAATGGCATATAAAGGAATGGAGAACTCTTTCTTTATCTTTGAGCAGGAGGAGGTCTCATCAGTAAACATCTCTGAAGGAGATTTGCAATTGGGCTTTCTCAGGATAGTTAAAGGTTACAGTGGCTGTGACAATCAGACCACTTATGAGTTCTTGCACTTAACCCTTCAGTCTTTTTTCACAGCTTTGTTCCTGGTTATTGAAGAGAAAGTGAGTGCCAAGGCGTTACTTCAGTTTTTCAATGAATGTTCTTTCACTGAGACTGCCCAGTCTACTTGCTTTCGTATTCCTTGGTTGAAGAAACAACTAGCAGGGGAGGATCCTTTCCGAAATAATGAACACTTCCATTTTACCAACCTGTTTCTTTGTGGCCTGCTTTCTAGATCCAAGCAGAAGCTCTTCAGACATTTAGTTTCACCTGCAGTCATTAAGAGGAAGAGAAAGACACTCATCACATACCTTGGGGAGAGCATGAAATCCCACCTGAAAGGCATCACTCGGTCCAGGCTTCCAAACTACAATCAGATCCAGGTCCAGCCCAACTTTGTTTGGATGCTGAGGTGCCTTTATGAGACTCAGAGCGAGAAGGTGGGGAAGTTGGCTGCCAAACGCATGCGTGCTAATTACATCAAGCTCACGTACTGCAACGCCTGCTCTGCTGACTGCAGTGCTATTTCCTTTGTTGTGCATCACTTTCAAAAGCGCCTCGCTCTGGATTTGGACAATAACAACATCAACGACTATGGAGTAAAACAGCTGCTACCTTGTTTCAGCAAGCTTGCAGTGATCAGGTAGGAGTCTGTGCAGGCATGTTCATGCTTATCCTTGGTTTATTCCATAAGCTGCTGAGCTGGAGGAAATATTCTTGAAAGTGGAGAAAGATGAGGGTTTTTATGGTTGCTGGAAAATAAAGTTTCAGATCTTCTGAAACCTTTGTTCAGCCAGTCACAGAACCAGAGACAAGCTGTGAATTCGGAAACCCAAATGGAAGGGTTCATAAGAAGTCCTTAGAAACCAGGACTGTTTAAACCTGTAGGTTTAGTTAGCTCCACCTCAAATTGTTTTGTCTCGGAAGAGGATTTTTATGGGAGAAAGTGCTTAAGGGAAAAGAAAGGAAACAAGTGCTTCCTCCATTATCTGAAGATTGCTTGAGCCTATCTCTGCCCTTGGTCATATGGTGTAAGAGAGGATTCACTACTCACTATAACACTTGATCAAAAGCTCTGAATTTCTTGCTTTTACATCCTACTGAGATGTCTGGCTTTCACAGAACAAAAGCTAACCTGCAGTACTCCATGAAAGGATGGAGTTGAAGTCTTTAGATTTGGTGTTTCCCTGAGGTGATTTGGAGGGAGGACATATGGCTTAGTGTGATCAGGGAAAACTAACTCCACCTCTAACATCACAGGCCAGATTATTCCACTGCCAGTCTCTGAGGTTGTGCCATGTAGCTGTACCTTATTTGTCCAAACATTTAGATGCAGGAAACCAGGAACTTCAAATATATATATATATATATTTTTAATCTACTGCGGCCTTATGAGATTTTTTTTTTTAATATATAAAAATAGATTTATTCCTCATGGTTGTCTGTGCTCTGCCTTGTTTTCCTCTAGGACTAAATCAAAGCAGGTTACACTTGTTTTTTTCCAGTTAGTTGCAAATCAAATGACCTCCCAAGAGAAAGCAATAAGGAAACTTGGAGGGGAAATGCATAAGTACGTAAGACAAAACAAAGATAAAGACAGACTTTCATTATTTGTCCCTATCATATGATCACGCCATGCACAGTACAATCTTAACACCATCCCCAGCACCAAACCAGTCTGTTAGGTTGCTTTTTGTCTTGATGGCTCTTCTGGTGTTAGGACATTCATTTCTAATGACCAATTTCTGCAGGTCAGGAAATGTTGTTTCTAACAGCTTAACCATCCCTTTCAAAGAAGCAGATTGTTCTGATGTAGAAATTGTCTCTGATTTCTCCTATGTGCTTGTGCATTCCAAAGTGACCAAGTTACCAACTAGCAAGAGCTGGGAAAGCTATTGGTGGTAAGGGACTCTTGGCAGTGAATGTTCAGCTTCTGAGTTGGTGCAGAAACTAAAGCTGGTCAAAATGTTTTTGCTGGGACAGCTTTACCCAGAAAATGTGATTCATCAGAATTGGAATGTTTTATGGGAACCTGTCTGTTTAGGCAAGGTGAAAACGCTTGAGAGGTTTAAGAAAACCCCCCAAATACCCAAAACAACTGTGAAAATAAGTATTTGTATTCTGTGAATGACTGGCATTGATTTGCTTTGTGACTAGTTGGGACAATAAAATTAGAAACATCCAGCACACCTATGGGACTGCAGTTTTCCTGGCCAGGGCTTTTCACAACCTTTATTCATTGAAGCTTGAATGTGTTGTGACTTTCAAAATGCCTGGCTTTTGCTAGGTACTCAGAGAGAAGGTTGCACAAAGAGTAGTTTGGAAAGCTTCCTTTTGCTAGGGTGTCAAGCAGAATTTCTTCCTGCAGTCACAGTAAACGCAGGAGGAGAACGAGGTGTTTTGTCCCTGGTTTCTGACTTACTACGTGTTATTGTTTTCAGTTCTATGGGAATAGCTTCCAGAGCATTACCTTGGAGATGGGGACCTTTTGTTTTCTGTTGGTTTTGAAGTGAGTCATATGAAAGTGAGCTCACATTTCCCTTAAAGGTTTTTAATAAATGGCATATTTGTTAAAATGTATATATACCTGTTAAAATATATATATACACCTGTTAAAATATCAGAGGAAAATTCACAGCCCTCTAGTTGTTCATTAACTCATGGATGATGAACACTTGTAATCTGTATTGATTCAAATTTTCTTTTTGTTCCCTTCATTCCAGGCTCAGTGTAAATCAGGTCACAGATCACGGTGTAAGGATCTTGTATGAAGAACTCTCAAAGTACCAAATTGTGACTTTCTTGGGGTATGTACCATCTGAGGGCAAAACGCTAGATACTGATATTAGAAAATAAAACTGCAGTGCTGACACTACTGACACGCAGAGATGGGCTGGAAACCGCAGTTACCTCCTCATTTACTGAACATAAGCAGTGCAGCATTTTGTGTAAGAAACAATTCAGCTGCCGTCCTGTAACAGTGCACTGGGAAAAGGGCCACAGCTTCCTCTCCCATTGCACTGCCTCACAGGGTGGCCTCTGCTAACATCAAGCCCTTCCATAACACAGTGTGGACCACGGCCCGGTTACTGAACTGTGTGGGCATGCTCATGCTATACCTAAAGCCTTCTGCTAGCTGTAGAGAGGAGAAAGCGCAAGCAAGAGAGCATGTGCTTTATAGCTAGAGCTCCTGTTTTCTCTGCTGTAAACTGATTTATTTCAACTATGGAGAGCAAATGCAGCTTGGTAGACACCATCAGGAACACAGAGTTTCAAGTGTCATGTTCATGGTACCAATTTCTTTTAAGCCCTTCATTAGTTCTTAATCAAGTTGAAGCTGGAAGGCATGTTAGCTCTGACTTCCTGCTCTTGGCTAAGTAGCTACATAAAAATGACTTTTTGAGAAGTGAACATGGATACCAAGAGTCGCCTCCTTCCTCCGGTGCCATAATCTAAGTACATCTGCTCAGGTATCTGATCTTCAGTAATATTTGCAAGGAGATTTTATGACTTTTAAAAAAGACCAAAAATATGTTCTTCTGGTGACTTCTCTTCTGGCAATATTATTTCTGTACTAACACAGGAATAAAGGGAAGCTTTGTTTGCTTGGGGAGACCATTTATTTAAAAAATTATATAAATATTTTCCCACGATTTACAGTCTGGTGTTCTTGTATTTTATATCTAGCCTTTCACCATATGAATTGTATATCAAAATAGAAATACAAGCACATGTGGATGTGTCCAAAGCCGTACAAACAAGATAGATGCTATGTCTGCTTTATAAAAAATTCAGGTTGTAAATATTAAAGTAACAGCAGGAATAACCTATTTTCCCAATGTGCTTTTTCTTTAAGCTTATACAACAATCAGATCACTGACGTTGGAGCCAAATACGTTGCAAAACTAATTGAAGAGTGTTCAAGCCTTGAATACGTTAAGTATGTTGGATTTTTTTTTTTTTTTTTTTTTTTCCTTTCTGCGTTATTCTAACTAAGGTAAAGCAACTTGAAACAGGAGAGAGATTGGAAAAGAGACAATAATTGTTTCAAATTAAATGTAATTTAGGTTGCAGTTTTATGTTCTTTTACAGTAGTCTAGCAGCGAATGGCAGCAGGTGAAACTCTTTGAGTCCATAGTCTTTACTGGAATATAGTAGTAAGTAAAAGGAGAGCATGAGACCTGTTCTTTACCTAAATGTAGTCTGAGCACCTGAGTGAGGCTTCAGTAGTGCATGAACCTTGCTGGCCCTTGCAGTAGGCAAATTCACTTCAATTTAGTACCAAGCTTCTTTGTATCTTGTCTTTTATGGGCCATTGGAGTCAGACTGCGCTGGTATCATACCTCAACTCTGGAATTCCCCACATTCACTTGATGAGTTGTTCCCCTTAAGCCCTGGAACTTCCCCAGATAAGAGTGTCTGACCCTGCATAACACTGGTTTGACATTCAGGTAGATCATTAACCAGTGGTTTAATTGTGACCATAGCAGAAAGTAGAGGTAACTACAGCAATGTCAGCTGTTTCCTATGAACGTAGCAATGAGCAGCCAGGGACTCTTGGGTTCTAGTCCTTGTTCTACCACTAACTTGTTCTGAAACCACACACTAGCCACATCCTTCCCACTTGAAATATTTGCAGACTTTTGAAATCCAAGAACACTTTGGTTCTTTCACTGCTTTGATACAGTGCTTTGCTTATTTAATCTAACTTTCATTAAAAAGCCTGGTTACTTGCAGGCTGTGTAGTAACCCCACAGATTATTTTGACATTGGGTGTTTATTCATGTGCCTGAAGTCAGTCAAAGCCAGCTTTACTTTATGTAAATGTAGCGAGCTGAGGAGTTTTTAGTTTTGATTTGTTCTTCACCAATGTATATGCAACTGAGACTTATCTCTTTTTTGAGCTCCAGCCATTTGATATCTCTACATAGGCCAAAAAAAGAAAAGGTCTTCTATAGAGTGCCAGTCAGAGACACTCATTGCTGTGCTCACCCATGCCACTGCCTATAGCTTGTGCTCAGAACAGAAAGACTTGAAATTATTACAATCAGTGCTTATCAGCTGCAGTCTCCTCTGGAGCCACGCAATCAAGAAGTATTCTATTCTCTGTGGCATCATGAAACATGCTGCATGTAATTCATGTACTCTGTAGCAACTGCTGATATTATGAACTATATTAAAAACTAGGCAGGGGTCCTTGCCTTGAGGATCAGTTCCGAAAGCTCATTTCTGACATACTGAGCACCACTCCCTGACTCTACAGTAACACTTCTGATTTGGAGGGCTGACATGCAAAATATGTGAAAGACAAAATGATGTCTTAATCAAAGGTCCAATACCTGCAGGTTTTTTTTTTACTCTAGGTTAATATTTGATAACTGTAGCCAGCCTCCAGACTTAATTAGCCTTAAATACTACTTGTATTGCTTTCTGAGCTGGTGTTCTAATAGCTGTACAGCTGTAAGTGATGTACCTCATCAATTCATGTATTTTGTGCAGAATAGGAGCAAACAAAATAACTAGTGAAGGAGGGAAGTGCCTTGCCCAGGCCATCCAGAAGAGCAAGACAATGTTTGAAATTGGGTAAGTCCAGTGCTAAGGAGCAGAGCTCAGAGCTTGATGTTGGCAAGACATCTGTAAATCCCTTAGGACTCCTTCTTTCATTCTTACCTTCTCTACTTCTGCTATTCCTTTTCCCCCCCTCCCCATCATCAGCATTAGAACAAACTGGTGCAGAAGCAGAGCTACATTTTTCTCTCAGATGGAAAAGGAGGGCTGCTTTGTTGTTGCCAGTTCACACAATGTTTGTTTTGGGTTTGTTTGGTTTTTTTTTTACCCTGTTCTGACAGAAACTTAAATGAGGTACAAACTAGCAAGAGGACAGTATGTAAAGACAGCCACTTTCCGTATGGCAGCACAGCTGTTCTAGAGATATTTGGTCATTTTTAAGTCTGGGTGGTTTTATGACTGTTGGCAGTGTACCTAGTTATTGAGTGTCATTGTTATAACTGTCAAACCTTCTGCATCAAGTCCTAATAAAGTTGCGTACTGGGAGAATAAAAAGTAATTCCCATCATTCTTCTCTCTAGTCCTTCCCTAACTGAAGACTCTGCTATTATTGGATAGAGGACTGAATGTACTCTAAACCTTTAGTTTCTGTCCTCTTTCTAAGGAGAGGTGCTAGACTTGAGGGTTTGATTTTTATTTTTTGTTTTCTCTCACCCTTCTGGCAAATCCCAGTTTCTCTTTCCACTCCACAGGATAACATTTTTCTCAGAGTCCAATACTCGAATACATGGTATTAAAACCTCTGTTTGGCCATTCTGAGTATTTGAATAACCCTTAAATATAAAAATCAGATTTGAACAATCAGATTTTTGTCCTTTAATTTTGTGGTTCTACAACATTTCACAAGCACAGTCAACAGCGTGCACATTTCCGTTGTCATATAGCTGGGTCTGCTGTGCTGTACTTGCTGCAGTTTCACTGAAGGACTCTGGTTTTCTCCTGTGGAGGAAATAATCACTCCAAATGGATTTAGGATAGCTTGGACAGAAATGTTTAAACAGATATATTCAACATTTACATAACAAACTGCTCTGGGTCTGAAGGACAAGGAAATTCTGGGGAACTTACTGGAAATGGATGTGTTCAGATACCACAAAGCTCAATTGATTTTAAAGGAGCTGCCAACTAATTACCCATCAAGCTGAGTGCGGCTCTGAGTCATCAAGCCATGATCCCGGTAAAAAAAAACCCCTTATACCTCAGCAGAGATGCTTTGAAGCCTCATAATATAGGCTGAGTTTTCAGAGTGCTTGGTCTGCATAAAAAAGATTTGACCAGATACTACTATTAAATGTTGACCAAATCTCTGCAGTTTTTACCACATTACATTGTCTTAACCCTTTGTGTTACCAAGGATTGTTTTGCCATTGGAAATACTATTCCTTACAAATGGGTGGAAGATCCCTGGGTCATACTGTCCCTGGGAGATTTTGATCTTTCTCTTGGCAACTGGCAAGAGAGGAGATGCCATTTGGGTGTAATGCTGAAGGAACTGCAGCCGTTTTTCCAGACTGTTCTGAAGGAGAGGGGGAGCTTGTAGAGCAGTTCACTTCAGAGAGTCATCCATTTGGCTGTGTGTCCCCATGCAGTTGTGCATCTGGGGAGTCTTTCCCAAGCCCTGGACTTTGCACTGTGTAAAGGCCAGTCTGTGCTTAACAGGTAACAGAAGAATCACAGCAAGGGATGGGGAGGAAATTCTGAGCAGGGAAATGACAGGATTTAGGACTTAGCGTATTTCTCACCACAGCTCACTGTACTGGACCACAAGAATCCTTTCTTTACCCCATAAGGGTATGGGGCTGCAGAGGGTTTGCCCAGCGCAGCAAGGTGATCCCAAAAGCATTCCTGCTGCAGCAGGCTGTCTCCTAGAGCTGCTTCTGTGCTGTGGCCTTAGGGTACTGGTGAGTCAGCAGAGGCTGGTGTGTGTGGTGTACAGGGAGTGGAACGTGCCTGGCTCAGTGGGGAGGGTAACTGCCAGGTTTCTCACAAGCCTGAAAGACTCTGAAGTAATCAGGGGGAGAGGAGGGAAGAGAAAAAAAAGGGAGACTGTAATACTGAAGGGCAGTAAGGCAGCACACTGATAATCTCCCGGTTTTCTCTCTTCACCAGGATGTGGGGTAATCAAGTTGGAGATGAAGGAGCAAAGGCATTTGCAGAGGCACTAAGGAACCACCCCAGGTTAACGAACGTGAGGTAAAACACCAGCCGAGCCAGGCAGCTCAGCATAGTGCTGGCTTTCCCATCGTGCTTTGAAGTGATGACTCTTCCTCCAAGCGTTAGCTTGGAATGCCATCTGGTATTGCAGCCTTTGCTGTGTAACCAACAGGCTCCTGGTGCAAGCAAAAGGACAGATTGAATCAAAAAGCCCTGTGCAGCCATTAAGCAAGTTAAAGATACTGCAGGGCTGGCATCCTTCCCTCTATCTGCACCTCCTCCCCTCATGCTGCACAGAGTTACTGGCATTTGTGCAAGCACATGGCCAGTGGGTACCATTTTGATCTGGGAGCATTAGCAGAACGATGCACCAGCTGTCACAGAATCAGGCTCTCAGTGAGCTCGGTGTTAACCGTTTTGGTTGTAAAGGTACAGCAGCTTTTACCAAAGTAATTATTAGGTAATAAACTGTTTGGGTAGAGACTGAGGCATTCTTAAATTCAGGCTCATCCAGTACTCCAGTGGAGCTACGCCACCACACATTCAGTGCTAATGAGATGTAGTTCTCACTGGAGTTCAGTGATTGATCTGAAACTAGCCTTCTGGAAGCCTTAGCATGGGTAAAGTTGGGAGCACAGCACAGGGGGAAGCCAGCAGTGTAAAACAGCCCATCTCCTGCCAGACATTCCGATGCTGGCTAGGGATTTAAAGATGCATATTGTGGCAGCTGCTGCTGTTTTGGAGTCCCTCCACACAGCTGGAGCACTGGGTTCACTGTGATCTCGATTTGTCTTCCAGTTCCACTGACCTCCACAATGAGGGAGCAGACAAGGCTCTTTGGTTTCACCACGAGGTGGCACATGGCACTAGTTTCTTTAGAAATACGGTACTCGGGGAGTTCGGGGATCTCTGGAGAGCATATTGCTGCCACTTCAGATCGAGGGTTTTCAGAGCTGGTGCCTTGTCCTCCTTTCTGTGAGTGGATAGCAGAGCTTAAAAATTAAAAGCTGAACAGGTGCAGTGACCTAGATATATTTAAACTTAAAAGCTATCTGAAATAGCCATCTTTTCATAATTGCAGAATCCATCCAGACGCATCAGACTTGAAAGAAAACATTTTGAACCTGAATCAGAGCTGAGGGATTGTCAGACTGGAACAAATGTGCTGATGAATGTGCATGCAAAAATGAGGAGTAGTAACTGTAGTAGCTAAAGCTAAGTTTTGCTGACACTTGTGCAGGGTGAATCTTCTGCTCTGTAGTGCACTTGCACTTGGGTTCATTTCTTACCTTCCACTGGTTAATCTTGCTTCATGATTTGATTAATAGTTAGCACCAGTAGTACCTTTATGTGAAGATTAAGGGAAGACAGTCCCTACAACATCAGTTTACTTGGGCATATTTGCCATTTTTAGGCCCAGTCACTATGGGCTGAGAATATCTAGTTTTATCTGCAGCTAGGAGGGACTCGTGCTCACATGTGCCATTGTACTACTTGATCCCCTTTTCTACCTTTTTTTCAGACCTTGCATTATTTTTAGGTTCTGGCCTGGCATTTGAGGGGGTAAATGCTTTTTGAACTCTCAAAGCCTAGAGCATAACTTTAACTGGATGATTTTGCCAATGTCTTTTCAAAGAATGAAGGGCAGACTAAGAAGTGCTTGTGGTTTGTAATGGAAAGCATGCATTTACAAGCTCATCTCTCTATATACAACAGAAGGTGTTGTGTGTGGAAGAATGAGGTATTCAGGTGTCTGAAGGACTTAAAGGACAAAGTGCCAGCTTGTACAGGGATTGGGGATGGCAAATGCATTTAAAAACCTGTGTACTGTGAAGCACAACTCTTAGTCCTTGTGAAAAGCCTTGACTCTCAAAACCACTGGGTACAACTCTGCTGTCAGTCCCAAGAATATAACTCGCCAACAGCAAACCTTACAGCCTGTATGACAGACCTGCACTCAGGCTGCAGCCTGTGAACTGTTCTCGCTTGTAAAAGTCATAAGGACTTATTGGTTTGCAAAGTATGTGAGCCTTCAAAACACCCAAATGCTGAACTGTACAACTGGGAAGCAGGTCATCCAGGATATTCACTAGTAATTGGCAGTGGGAGGCCCAAGTGATGCTGGCTGTTTCTTACACATTTGTATCTTTACTTCACAGTCTCGCATTCAATGGTATCACAACAGAGGGAGGCAAAAGTATTGCTGAAGCTATGCAACACAACGACTCTGTGAAAATATTCTGGTAATTGACAGTGTGGTCTACTTTTCCTCCTCTTCTTTCTCCAGAGAAAGTTGCAGCCTAATTTTATTTCCTCCAACCCCATCACCTCTTCCTACTCTTCCCTCCTCCTTCCACCCCTCTCCTCATCTCCTGTGGTTTCACAGCCCACAAACTATATAGATATATATACCTTATATACCAGAGATAAGGTGTATATATATATATATATATACCAGATATACCCCTGTGGAAGAACATGGACATGAGTAATGGATCAGCAGCACATGTCCTTTAGGACATATTCCAGTGTCCCAGTGTCATGCTTTGCTCTGCTCCCTCCATCTTGCTTTCTGCTCTCACTTCCATCATCTGAAGTCAAGTTCTTTGTCTTCAGTTTTTGCACCTCTTCAGTGTTGTGTCTACCTTTTCCCACTACACCTCATTCACCTTTTAGACACTAAAACATCATAAGAAAGTATCATTAGAACATTGCTCTGAGAAATAAAGATCTGATACTCTTGTCTCTTTTACCTCCAGGGATTTTCTTCAGTATCTCTTTGTGTCCAGCCTTTACAAATTCCTGCTCAGGGCAGGAACCCCAATCCCCCTTCGGCTGTCTAAAGCTAAGTCACAGACAAGCTAGAAAAACAGGGGGCTGAAAAATAATGATAACATCCTAAATTAACATTTTCTCTCCCACTTAGGTTGACTAAAAACGAGCTGGATGATGAGGCAGCAATGAGTTTTGCAGAGATGCTGAAGGTCAACAAGAAACTGGTGCATTTATGGTGAGTTACATTCCACAGAGGCACAGGCTCTTTGGCAGTCGCTGCATTAAAGCTTCACCTTCCAAGTCTATGTAGGTCAAAGTAAGCTTTCTGTGCATGGTCTGGATGCAGCTGACTGGTTGTAGACCGTTCTAATGGAAGTTAATAAAGCTGCTGTCTAGCACTTTGAACCTGCTTTCATACAGGGAGAAGTTTAGGCTCTTAGTGTGTCCTAGTAACTTTCAAAACTCTCCTCAGGGGAACAGTACTAGCCTAAACTCAAAAGTTTCCAAAAAAATACAAGCAGACAGCTAGAATAGAGTAACCTTGCTATGATTCTTACTATATCATTGTACTATGAAAGTAGCAAGCTCAACACTTACTCTTCAACCAAGAACTGACATGACAGACACTTAAATACATGTCCCATTTGCCTGATGTTTTCTTCTAGGGCTAGCACTTTCACTCATGCAAGACACTCATCTATAAAACGTAAATCCCGAGGAAACTAGGGATTATTTCTAGGAATCACAAAGAGACTTGTTAAACTTCTAAGAAAACACGGTGTTAGCTGTTCTAATCCAGAGGTTCACAAGAATTTTTCCATGGATAGGGTTGGGCAGATGTGGGCTGTGCAACATAAACAGCCATCCATTCATTCCAAGTGATCAAGATAACATAATAAATGGAGTCCCTTGACAAGCTTTACAAAGACTTTGCTAACCACACTCTAGCATTCCCTGTATTAATTCTAGCTCCCGCCCCTTAGGAAACATGCTGTTTGTCAGAGGTGCCAAGTACTTGTAGCCTCTTTTGAAACCAGTCAAAGCTCTGGTGCCCATCACCCTGAAAATAAAAGGAGGGGGGGAGGGCTTGGTTTCTTTGCGCACAGCTGCAGATCTGCTTCACTGAGCAGTTTGGTCTGAATTCATAATAAAACTTTCCCCATCCAAAGCAGTCATAGTAATCTAGATAGATGTCTTTACCATGGCTCAGTATTGTCCAGGGGTTTCTGCCAGTAGACAAGTTTATATCCTAATTTGTTGGTTATACCAGTGGATACCTCCAAAAGGTAGTGCCCTACAGAGATGGTTGAACTTGAGTCAGAATTGAAGTGTTTATCCTGAAAGATTCTACTGGCTCCCTTTGCATTTTGATTTCTTTACCAAGTGCCGAAAGTCCTTTAATGGGAATGATTCCTTGCTTCCTTCCTTGCCTCCCTCCCTAAGAGGTCATTCAATTCATTCCAGTTTTCAGCCTCATCCCGAATCCTGTGGGATTCATGCAGCCAGTCACATGGATTGCTACAGCTATGGGGCACACCATGTAGACTGAAAGGTAACTACTGAATTAGGCTGGTCTGATGTGTATTTTTATACTTACGCAGCTGAGGGGACTTTATTAATTTTTAGCTAAGGGGATGGTCTACAGTGGTTATCAAGAGTTACCTACTACTTCATCAGTTGTGCTACTGGAGGATCTTTTGTATCATTTTTTTTCCTCAGCTCAGATGAGACATACTTTATAGCTGCTAAGGTGGCTTCCCTGGGACTCACACCTGCTCATACCAGAGTCATATTCAATGCCTTATTTTTCAAAGATCTTGCTGGTCTGATAAACAAGACAGGAGGATTTGGAAACCTCTGGCTGCTAGAACACTGGGCCCACACAGGTTCTGTACTCAGAATTTTCTGTATGTCACTTAAAAATGTCTCACAGTGTTCTTAAGAACAAAATGGAGCTAAGGGGTTAGTCTGTCTCAAAGAGTCTAAATATCACAATCCCATAGCAGTAGTAAAGCGTTCTTAGCAGAAATTTGACAGTTATGTAATTAAGCTCAGTATCTCCAGAATGCAACCCTGTGCAAGATTAAAAGGAAAAGACTAATATTCTGGGCTCTGTTTCTGAAAGTGCATGTGGGGCATTTGACCAGTACCGTGTACCATCCTCACAGCTAGAAATCACAACTGTCTTCTTGTGGCAAACAGACAGCTTTGCTCCTTGATGTCAAGCTGAGCGTAGGTTGTGCATGCGCTGTGAATTAGTTTGCATGTTATTTTGACATGAAGTTGCTTTTTAGGCTTATCCAGAATCAAATTACAGCCAAAGGGGTGAAGTACATCAGCGAAGCTCTCAAGGAGAACACAGCTATTAAAGAAGTCTGGTAAGGATCTCTTCCTCAAAGACTCTCTTTGTAAACTTTCTTTTCCTTTAAAAACACTTCTGGTATTACTGCTTTCCAGCCTAAAAAATGCAGAGCAAGTTTATGTGAGGCAGGGGTTGTAGTTCCAGCTGTGAGTTTCAAATAGGTAAAAAGCTTCTGTCATTGAAACACTTCCATGTCTGTTACGAATGCCAAACAATTTTCTAAATTCACATCTGTCTGTACCACTGATTTGCAAAATGTGTGTGTTTGCAGAATTGGGGCCTAAATTTATAGATCAAATTTTGCTTGTCCTGATTTATTTTTAAACTTCTGAAAATGTTCATGCTTTTCAAAAGCTAAATTTCAACAAGCAGGGGATGGTTACATTTAACTATCACTACTAATTTGGTTTATAGAATTTGTGCTTGGTTTTTCTTTGGGCGGTACTCCAAACACCCTGAAAGTGCTAAGTGGCAAGATTAACTTTTTGTAAGATTTGCTTGTTTTAGATTAGGTAGGCATCACAGTCACACGTGTGCATTGTAAGGCACAAAGCCAAATACCGCATTCCTTCCCTCACCTCAGGGAGCTCAGGAGTCAATAGAACTGTGCTGGTTTTAGCACCGCTGCTTTATTATTGAACACGAAATTTATTTTTAAATACTTATATTTGTTTTAGTGAAAGGACACTGGATTCTTGTTTAGAAAGACAGTGACTCACTATCTGACTGGTGCGTTCCCTGGAGTTGTGGAAGGGATGCTTTTTTCAAAGGCCACTGTCAGCTTTGTCTACAGAAGAGGCATCAATTCCCACCCGAATCATTCTGAATCTTCAGACCAAAAATCTGTCTTTTGATTCTTGCCTGAATTTTCAGAGGTGCTCATTAACCCAAATAATTTCATAAATCTAAATGGTTTAATAGATTTCAACATTTCTGAAAGCTGCACTTACCAGGCTGCTCATTTTCAGGGGTGAAAATATACATGTAGATTAACTTTATGTAGCCAGCTGTGAAAATTTTGCCGTAAATCATTTCATATTAATAACACCTGAGTACTTAATAGAGTTTTCTTCCCATCTTTTCATGGAAGACACAAAATGCCCTGAAGACTATTTAAATTTCTTTTAAACTAGCCCACTGCATGTTAAGAACTGTAGTCAGCTATATGCTGCTTGCTGAAATGCAAACAGCTGGGTATTCAACGCTGATCTTGGTTCAGTGAAGTTTAGGTTCAGTTTTTATTTCTGAAGAAGTAGCCTTGTTCCTTGTACGTGCAGTGGGAACAGCAGTGCTGTAGCCTGCCTGTCTGAGGTCGGTTCCCAACTGTGTGCCCCTGAGAAGCAGACAGCTCACACGGCATTGCAGAGCTGTGATCTCTGCTCCAGAACCTTGGAAAAATAGGAGAGGGGCAACAGCCACTACCTTACTTTCACATCCCTTTTATTTTTTGCTTCCAGTTTGAACGGGAACCTGATAAGCCAAGAAGAGGCCAAAGCTTTTGAAAATGAAGAACGGATCATTTGCTTTTGAATGAGGACTTTCCCATTTTGACAAGCTTTGTGTTACAAAGGTTACTCCTACACTTGTACTGCAGAGCTTATAAAGGCGTGAATCTGCAGTGCTCATGGCAGGAGAGAGATGCATGATTAGCTGCCTTTTTATGAACCTGCTGCACTCCCTCAGCTCCATCTCTTACCCTGCCTGTTACTCTTAATCCTTTTGGTGAGTGGGAAGTCACCTGGGTAAATAATTAATGTTGTATGGTGCTTTGAAGATGAAATGCAAAGGGTTAACAGACCAAATCCACTGGCAGGTGTTGTGCATTGTGGTAACTGTGTTTAGATTTATTCTGTATACTGATGTAAATAATCTCTAACTTATTTATATACATAAATATACACACACACATATATACACGCAAGAAAGGGTGCAAGATGCACAAATTCCACAAGCTCACAGTACCTGAAAATGAACATGGAAACATAATCTGTCCATAATAGTTGCATGGTACCAGTGTTTTCAACATGAATACCTTTCTTCTGTCTAGAAATCAGGCCCTTAGTTCTCCACTGGCTACAGACAGCATTGTAGACACTGCCTTTTTTTTTTTGAGAAATGGATACATCAGGCTCAGATTACTTTCAATAATCTTTTTTTTCATATTGAAGCCAACACATTTTCTTTTATACAAGCAGAAGGCCTTACTGCCATCATTGTAAAAGCATAAAACTGGCAGTAAAACACTTTTGCTTCAAATTTCCTGAGGGCTGCATAGAAGCTGCCACCTCCTGTTTCCACAGTGTTTGTTCTGGGGAGGGGGTCTGGAGATAAATGTGAAAAATTAATTAGCAGGCTGCTCATTGCCTTGGCTCTTGGCCTAGACACTGTGCTGGTGGCAATACACCAATATTAAGTTGCCTAGCTTCAGTGGGGAGAAAGGATGATTGAAAATCAATTGCGTCAAGTAGAAATCCCTTCTCCCGGCAACATGTAACCACAGAGAAGGATTGAGATTTGCTTGGAAAGCTTTTTATTCTATGCTTGAATTAGTGGAAAGTGCTATGCAAGGGGCAGGTAGCAATTACAAGGACCAGCAAGAAATCATTATCCCCCCAAAATACTTAGTGTTTAGGGAGTATAACTTTCGATGCCCATAAAAGAAACTAGTTTGCAAAGAGTGGGGTATTTTGATTTTGTGTGTGTGTGTGTGTGTGTGTGTGTGTGTGTGCGCAAATTAGGCATGCTTTGTAAAGGTAAACTCAAAATCTAAACACCCCACGGTGTGCACAAGGAACCTAAAATGGAAAAGCATGATCCATTTTCCCTCCTTCTCCCATGTTACCACCCCTCCAAAACTTTGAGAAATGAGTTGCTGACTAACCCACAAAACCTCAGTAGGCTGGAAGAAGAATCTCCAGTTAAAATCCCAAACCACTGAACTCTCACCTTCCCAGATCTGCCTCATAAAGCAAAACATCAAAAAAAGGCTGGCTTTTAGGTCAGAGTTTCTCTGTTTCCCATGTGGTATCAGACCAGTGCCCAAGTCTACTCACTCCAGCTCACTAACACATTTTAAAATACTCCCAAAGCTTTCCACAAAACCATCAGTTAAAAAACGAAACAGAACAAAAAACCCAACAAACAAACAACTTAGTGTTTGATATTTTTCAGTGGCTTTTCCTCCCTGTCTGTGATATCAGTGCTGATTTTTCACAAGGAGACAGATGACCATGCTAAAGTCAGCTAACTTGAATGATTTCTGCACCTGAGCCATTTTTTTATGGAAGCAAAAGGGTGCAAAGTTACAGATGAGCTGGTTTTAAATTAAAAAAACATCTGCCAAAGCGAGGCCTTTAAAGACTTCTCAGCGACTTTAACAAATCAGACACCTAGGCACCTTGTCAAAATGTTCCTGTTTTGCCAGCCCGCTGAGGGGAGGAGACAGTGGTGCAGGAAGGGCCTTCAGCAGAGATGTCAATTGCCTCTGTTGGAGGGAAATATGCTCACAGTTTGCTCTAGTTGCCAAATTATTTGCTCATTTACCAGGTAGAAAATACAGTTAAAAACTCCAGCTCCTGTCCTCATTTCACTGATTGGCTAAAGCAGCACAAAGTGTCCCGGATGGCTCCCTCCAAGCTTTCCAGTGGAGACACTTCTGCCCCTTTTTTTGGTTTAGAGCAGCCTTTGTAGTGTGACAGCATCCTCAGCCCTGTTGCAAATCCTGTTCAGTGACCGGCTGTTAAAAGCCAGGTGTCCAGGGCAGTTTTTTCAGGGACAGGAGCATATCTGGGGCTGCAGCATCTAAGCACAGCCTCAGAGTGGTGCCAGGATCAAGCCCAGCTCCATGTAGGACAGAGTTTGGCACCAATTACGGTACCAGTGACCGTGCCAGTCATAGCCACTCATTTCAGAGGCAGTTTCAGGCTGCAAGTTCTCATTTGGGCTGGACTGAAGGATGTTTCAGAGTGTCCTGCTCCCAGCTCACCCAGAGCAGAGGGTCTGCTTCACACAGCACATCACAGCTTTGGGAATCGTGCTAGGGAAACTGGTTGCTGCAGTGGGAGCAGCTGGAGTTTCCTTGTTTGTTGGCATAGCATTTCAGGCTGCAGTTCTTTCTTTGTAGTCTTACTGGAGTATTTGTGGAGCGCATTGGAGCAACACATTTGCAGCTCGCAGTGAGAGCCTTGTTTACTTGAATTTGGAGACAACTAACTTTTTAAGACTTGTTTGTAATTTGCTAAGACATTCTCTGTATGCAGCATTATGTTTTTTCCACTTGCCCACTGTGATAATAAACAGCTTTTTTAAGAACTTGGACAAGCTGCCTGCAAGTGCTTTGGCTTTGCTGGAGCCCTGTTGAGCAGACACTTGGCTAATGGAGACGGGACCGTGACAGCCTAACGAATTCTGGCCACAGATGAGCGAGGAGCTTCCACAGCTGGAGAAGGGTGCACAGAGCCACCGCTGGCCACGGGGGACCTTCCCGGCAGCGGGCGCCAACCCAGGTAGCGGCAGCGAGGGAACCCACAACAGTGGCTCATGCACAACACGGTGCTGCCGTGCTGTGCCCCCATAGGCCCCCGCCACACTGACTGCGGGAGCTTGCTGTGTTGCCACCCGCTGCTGGGGGCCAAGGCTTAAGGTGCAACACTTGCATTTGGGTGGCGCAAGCCCCGCTGCCGGGCAGTGCTGTCCCACTCTGGGCACGCGCCGCCAGGTCTTCGGGAAAGGATGCTTTTCTGAGCCTGGTTTAGGCTGGGTCTCAGCCCAGCATCCTCAGCCGTCAGAGCTTGATCTGCAGAATGGTGTAAGGCCACTCAGACTTTGCCCTTCAACCCCAACCAGCGCAGCCTCCTGACCCCTCCGACCCGTGCTGTGGGAGTAGCACTGATGCCGAAAGACAGCGGGAGACCCACGCCTGCTGCCCCTGCAGCTTCGCTCCCTTCCCTTACCTGGGTCTGGCAGAAGGAAACAGGGGCCTATTGCAAAACTGTACAGGTGGCCACAGTCGGGAGCAAAGGTGTCAGAACCAGGCCAAAGCAGCGAGGGATGGGTGTGCTGTGAGGAAGGAGAGGTCCCTGCAGAGGCCGCTTGGTTTTCAACTGATGAAACAATCTTAGCAGCAAAAAGCTGCAGCTGTGCACGAAGGACTTACTTGACTGTTGCTTTAGTAAGTAGAAACAAAATGTCAGAACCGTTCGAGATGAAAACAGAGACCAGGTCAGGAGCTGCCCGCTGCACTTGGGGACTTTGAATTCAATTACAGGAGATGGTTTCTGTTCGCTTGCTGGAGGCTCTCAGTTGCCTTGTGAGATGGGTGAGGCTTCTAAAAACTTGATACAGCAAGAGCAGTGAGTCCATCCTTGCTTCCCCGGGTGGGGGCAAATGGCGAGAGACTGCAGGGAGCACCACAGGCACGGGGGGGGGTCCCCTCCTTCGTCCTGGGGACTTCATATTTGAATCCCCCATGAATCTCAACGGGCTCAAAGTTAGCCAGTGTTTATTCTCCACTCCCAAAGGCAAACCAGGGGTGAGGGAATGACCTGCAAAATTTTGAAGCAACTTGCCTCAGGTATGCAGCAGGACTTGAAAGGAGGGCTGATGGTTCAGCAAAAACAGCAGCTTTGGCTTCAGGAGCATCAAGGCTTGAGAGATCACAGCAGGTGGATGAGGGAATAAAAACTGGTCTTATAACCGGCCAGAAGCAAAAAGTACAGCCATTGCTTTATACTGGGACAGCAGGGGATGTCCTGTGCCCTTGTACGTTCACACTGACGGGGAGTCCCTGGGTGACTGCACCAGAAAGCAGCAGATTTCTGGCAGGGCTGATGCTGCCTCACCCACCCAAGCTCAGCACCTTCGGGGGTCAAGCCAACCCCTGAAGGGGATGATACATAAATCCTCGTCACATGCAGGGCCTGCAGCTGCTGCTGGCACCAGGGTTGCTGAACAGGGTCTACCCAGCAGCCCCAGACCTTCCGCAGAAACGTGGAAATGGAAGATGCAGAAGTGGGCACCAGGTGCAGGACAGGAAGAACCAGTATCTCCCTTGCTCTGGCTGTCCTGTTGGTAGGTGCCACCACATTTTTCTCTGCTTTAGCAGAGCTGCTAAGGCAGGGCCAGGGGTCCAAATCCCAGCCCTCCCCTGGCCCCAGCCCCACATTCAGGCCCATTCACAGGGCAGCAGCTCTGACACTTCACCAGATGCAATTTTCCCACTTTCTCTGTTCTTCTCATTCCCTTGCCCCAGAGCCATCGGCTTTCAGTGTCCTGGCCACTGCAACCCCGCTTGGAGGGCAGCAGCCCCACACCCCAGCTGCCGCTGCTGCCCCTCTGGAGCAGCGTCACTCTGGGGGCATCAGCAAGATGGGGCAGCACATGCCTAACGGGGTACAACTAAATCATCATGCCCTGCTCATGCAGCCCTTCTTGGTAGCCCAGCTGGGCTGAAGAGGAAGGGACAGATGCCTTTCCCAAGCTTAGCACCTCAGCCAGTGACCACCTTGTGCAGCGCCGGCCAGCCCGGATTTGAGCATCTTCACTGGGGAAGGTGCCACGGTTCCCCCATCCTGGCCCCCAACATGGGCAGCTGGCCCATGAGGTGGCCACTGGTGGCACAGCAGATGGGCCACTTCCACCGCTGCGGCGAGCGGCTGTGCCCGAGAGCAAACTGGCCCTGGAGCAGAAGTGTCCCCTTGGTTCCCATGGGGGAGAGAGCTGGAGCTCCAGCTCTAGCAAACCCTTCGCAAACAGCTAAATTATGCCCAACCGCTTGCATCTGGGGATTCATCCTGTACACTGAAGGCCGCAACTTAATTAGCTGCTAAAGCCTCGTCAGCCAGGAGACTTAGACCTCATGGACTGGAGCAAATGAAGCTGTCAAGTTTTCATGCTCCTATTACCTGCCAGACTCTTTAATCCTGAGTGTAGCAGATGTTAATCCTGGCCCGGGTGATTTGTGAAGAGGAAAGCTGCTCCCTTTAGAAGTCAGCCAGGTCTGCTGAGGCAGGGAGCGGGTGAGGAGACCCCACTGCTGCACAGCAGGGGCAGCCCCATGGTGGTCATTCTCCTCGATAACAAAGCCTGACTGGGCTCGGACAGAAGCTTGGTATTTTCCTTCTGTTTGAAGCCAGCTGAAAGAACTAAGAGGGGATGGGGAGAGAAAAAAAAAAAGGCTTTGTTAAAATTTAAACATGTTCAAACAAAGAAATCTGTAACCAGGGTGAAAACAAAAAGCAGGGCAGGAGCTTGACACAAAACATGACTCGAAAGATAATGGGCCAAATCCAGAGAGGCACCAGGCACCTGCAGCTTCCACTGAGCTCAGTGAGGACCCATCGCTGTGCTTTTAATATCTGCCTCCTCTACGCTCTTGCCTTTACGAGGAGTGAGTCATCTTGCGTCAACTGAGGATGGGCTTTATGCAATTATTTATTTATGTCAAACCCTCCTCCCTGCCCCCACATATCCCTGATCTCATCCCCCTCGGAAAACAGACGCTTTATTAAACAAGGGCTATAGAAAACTCCATCTCACTTGGCTTTTGCTGAGGCTCCTTGTTGTCCAGTGGCCGGCTGGCAAGGAGACAGAGGGTACAAGCTGCACGGCACCTCACAAGCAGTATCCTCTATGGCCTTGTTTGGCTTTTTGGATGCAGGCACCCTTCTCCCTTCAGGGTGGGATGGAGCTGGGCACCTCCTCAGCTAAACAAACACTCCAGGGGGTGTTCTGAGAGCAGCAGGCTCCAGCCTGCACTCCCCCAGGCACAGACAGATGTTGCTCAGGTCTTGTAGCTTCGGAAGGAGGATGAGATCTTCCAGCACAGGGCACTCAAAGCCAGGGTAGAAAACACCCCCGTTTAGCCCCAGCTGCTGCAAGGGACCGTCCCCTCCCTCCCTGCCCTCTTTGCCGCAGGCTGTGTGTTTTGCTCCTGCTAAAAGCAATGCAGCATCCAGAAGCAGACATAGCCCACTGCCTGTACCAAGCAACAGCATGCAGTAGTGGGGCCAGATACACACACAGGTGCAGCATCACCATCTTGCACCAACAGCCCCCAGGACCAGCCCCAGGCCAGCCCTGCTGCCCTGTTCACCCCCAGGGCAAGCAACTTGGGGCA